ATTCACACAAATTCGGAACACTTTTAGCCATACTCTCAACCTCTGAAATGAAAATGTGATTCTTTTCTCAGTCGGTACTCACGCTCTAAACCCAACCCACTCTTGCTGTCTCTGAAGGTCAAGCGGAGAAAGTGAGTGCTTGTGCAGAGGAGGAGAACTGCTGCACGTGTTCAGTGCTGCCTCTGTCTGGGTGACCATGAAGCCGCCCATCTCCCCCATTGCTCCCGCTCCCCTTAGTATGGTCATGGCAGCTTTCTGGGGCGCAGCGGCTTGGCCCCCCCAGGGAGAGGAGACAATGAAGGAGGGAATGGGTTGGGTATTAATAAAATAACACTCGTTTCACCTTGAAGAGGCCATTTGCCTGTTGTTGTTTTCCTCTCCGCATTTAAATTCTAGAAAAATGCATTAATGTTTTTGCAGCCTGTGGTTTGGTCATTGTTTGGGGGTTATGCATCGTGAGTGACAAGTGACAAGAACTTATAATGAACTACATTTGCAGGGAAGTATTATAATTGAATTTTAATGCCAGGCATACAGGGAACAAATGACTGTCCTACAGCACACGGCATTTGTAACACAAATGGTAACCAACTAAAGGAGAAGTTGCATCTGAGCCTGAGATTATGAAAGCAAAAGTTCAACATTTTTTTTGCTTTTTTTGCCATCCATAGCTGGATGTATGTAACCAATTTCATATTTTCAAATTGAAATTTTTTTTATTTCCAAAATAGAAAACGTTCTCATGATCTGCCCGCAGCAGAATTACACAAAACTGCAATTAATTTTGGCCAAAACAAGCTATATACACTTAATTTATAACAGACATTTGTGGCATTACAACATATGTCATATTATTATTTTGCTAACTACAGTGAAAATATTTTTTTGTAATAAAAAAAAGGCGTCACATTTTTCAAATAATTAAACTTTCAGGTTGACTGTTAAATATCGACATAGGGAATATAAGAACCGATCAAATGGTTTTAACAGAAAACCGCTAGATTTTATAAATTAAACTGTAGCAGAACACGGGGCTGCCTGGGTCACACGACGGATTTTGACATAGTCCGTCTAAACCAAGCCATGCAACTTTAATGTTATGAGTTGCCCAGGGCTGCCATGTATAATTAAAGTGTTTTTGTGCCCCCCCCCCCTTCCCTCTCCCCCAACTGCATTCACCCGCAATGCTTGGTAGACAGATGAGGAATTCGGTGGGAAAAGCGTTTCTGAACCGCCCACATATAATATATAAAATCCCTAATAAAATAAGAAACTACACTTAAATGTAGTCAAACATTTACATCTACACTCCGTCGTCTGCAGCAGTGCACCGTGTACTCACGATTATAAACAAATCCACTGTGTGTGGAAGTCTGCACGAAGTTTCTAGAAGTCCACTCCCCTTAAAGAAGTCCCATCCCATACAAATATCAGGGCAGCAGTCGTGACCTTGATGTTTCTGCCACTCTGCAAAACCCAGTGATGATGGGGCCATTCCAATACATCAATTATGAGAAGCGTTTGTTGAGGTAATGTGCAACACGCAAGGCAACGGGCGGGGGCGGACGGGTCCCGCTGCACTATTCATGTCACCATCTGCTCCCTTTCAGAAAGTCTTGCTCCACAGGCCTGCCGGCCCTGGAACCGGGTCGCGGGCTGCGTCCCTGGTCCAATTCTTCCAGCAGTGCTTGTAGCCGCGGCACAAACATGTGATTTCGACCAGCCACCTCCGGTGCCATCCCTCTTTTGGTCGCTGCTTTTCTCCCGCGTGCAATACCAACAACCGGGCAGAGCATTTGGAATTTGCTGGAACGCTGAGAGAGTTTAAGGGAGCAAACACTTGCAGCAGGGGACTTCCATTGCAATAACAGGGATCGATAAAGAAAGCGCAACACCTCAAAGAGGTCATCGAATAAGATTTCATGCCGACGCATTAAATATAAATGTGGCTGAAATAGACAGGATTTCCAAAGACCAAATGTGCTTTGAGTTTCCAATCCGTTCGATCCGTACTAAACCCCGTATTTCAATTTTGCACCAACTAAAAAAAAGCTGTTCACCCAATGCCCGTCTTTGCCCAATTTGTCTTTGAGGTCATTAAGGCGTGGCAATGGTCTAAGTGAAAGCCTTGGTTTGCGCTCCTCTAAGTGTGTTTGTAAAGTAAATCCCTGCTCTGATTAGATGTAATATCCACAGTGAATATCTGTGAGAGGGGACCGTGTATCCTGGTGGAGGCATCTGATCAATATGCAAATTGAGCAGCTCACTTTGCTCATTACATTAAATGAGCCGCGACTGAATGAGTTTGTCTCAATTATCAATTGCAAAGTTGCGCCGGCGCTCGTTTCATTGTGGTATTTTAGTTCCATATTAGTGTCTGGGTATGAGATCCAGGGCTTGTCACACTCTCTCATTCAGAAGGCCTGGGGCACAGACTACACACACACACACGCCGGAGACTAAATGTTGGCCACCCTGTGGGGTGTCAGCTAGAAAAGATGACTAAGGCAGGAAATGATATCATTAAAGACTAAAGCAGAGAAATGTATGAGGACACAAAAGGCCAAACTTCACATTGCTCTGTGTGCTGCTGTATAATCTGTTAGTGGGGGGTATGAATAAGCTCACTGCAAGGACAGCAAAGGTGTTGGAAAAGGGTAACTGTGACACAGACCGATTTACTAACATATCAAGAAAATGCTATGCTATCTTCTTCTTCATTTCATAGGATTAAATTGAAATGTAACGAAAAACATCCTTTGAATGATTCTGTTAAATGTGCCTAAACCTAAGTCTTAGCTGTATTTAATGGTATGTGATTGTAAACGTCTCCTCTCTCGAGGTTGCTCACTACAATGTACTGTATATAATGCATTTGATGCTCCAGTTTCTTTGAGTCCATGATTCACAGATGATTATTAATTCAATTCAATTCAATTCAATTTATCTTCATATACAAATATTTATGTCACTGACCTTCATGGCTCTTTTTTCAAAAATAAAAGCCAATAGAGGTACGAAAGTATCCTAAATACAATACAAATAATATGAACAGGCTAAATTAATGCTAACTTGCTATACCACAATATGTATAATATTCAGTCAAGATGCAAACAAGTGTGTGAACAGGCCTACTTTTATTCTCACAAGTTGCCAAGATGTTGCCATTTTGAAAGGGCCAGTACTCGTGGAAATATGGAGAGACAGCTCCACGGTGAGGAAGCTTAACAGGACTCGCCTGTGACCAGAAAATGGATTAGGATTCCTGTGGAGAGCTTGGGATCAATACCTCTCTGCACTTTGTAAGAATGATTCTTTGAGGAACAGGATGTTAATATCATTCAGAAGAAACAATGGGCTGCTTACATTAGTGGTCTGCATCAGCTAGGAGCAAACACTTACACCCCAACAGTATGGAGTTTTGTATGTTTTAAGTTTGTACAAGCAACACGGTCATACATCATTCATCTATTTTACACAGTAAATGATATTTATTATTTATCCTCATTTTGTCAAATTAAACATCGATCATGAATTATTTTTGCATCTTTACTAATGTTGCATTGAATTCCAACCAGTTAGGAAATAAATATTACTGAGAATAAAATGTGTCATTGACTTTTTTTCTTATCTCTTTCAAAAAACCTTTTGTTTTGTTGTTTTTGTGTCAATACTGCGCCCATGTGGTATAAAGTGGAACATTACCCAGGTGCCACAACGTCCAGTTTATGATAACTGCAATCACTGAAAATGACAGCACCAATCAGACAACCATCCCAAGAAAATGTAACTGTTAATGAAGGTGTTAAAATACATTTTGTAATTGATTACAGCGTTTATTAAAGCCTATTTAACAATGTTGAAATCTCCTGTTCCTTGTATTTATCACAGCGCCCTGCATGAAAACCTACCGTGTTTTTCAAAGAAGGCAGCTAAATAGATAGTAAAAACTTGGTTGCTCAGTATTTAAGTTGATGACTGTCTTTCTCCTTGGGTGATGTGACAGGCAGGTCTGGTGCACCATATGAAATATGAAACAGGAAGGGGACACCGTTAACAGCCATGTCACAAAGCATCAGTGAGGATGACGGGACCCAAGACCCTGGTCTGCTACACTGACATCTCTGCGGCTAATCGGAAGATACAGGTCCTCACAGCTGCCGGACCGGAAAGATGGAGAGAAGGTCAATAATTTAACAGTCGCAACATGTTGAGCCCAGTCCGACATTAAGGTCTCCCTCCCTCCTTCCCTTGCACACTCTCTCTCTCACACTGACATTCACGCTCGCACATCTTCGCAGGCGAAGATTCATCACCTTGCGTGCAGTGCTGTTAAATTAAAGAGCTGCTCACAACTTCAGAGGAAGCCTGTGAGACAGAAGTGAGGGGATTCACAGGGTGAAGGCGATGGTAGGTAGACGAATGAGTGTTGGTGTTTTGCCGATGGCCGACAATTGTTGCGCAAGAGGCCGTTTTGATTTTCTCAAACTGAATTTGTGTGGATGTCAGCTGCTGAATTTTGTTGTTTACCCACGCAGGAGGCAGCGTGTTATGATTTCCACATACATAACTCGCTCATGTGCATACCCTCAAGAGAGAAGGAAATGACTCAAACTTTTCCCCAGAAGTAAAACTCCAGTCATTTCAAGGAGAAACTTCAATGTGGTTATTTCAAAGAGTAAAGGGATTTGTTAACAAATGCAACATTGCATATTTTTCATTAACAAGACTGATCTAAACCCACTACATGCCTGGACTATCTATGTTAATTGTGCTTTATTGTGGCCACATTGTTATAGAAATAGTTAGCAGTAGCGATATTAGGTGTCCATCTCCTAATAACTTCAGTGGTCCAAGTAATATTTCTTTTAATTTAATTGTACTGAAGTAGAATATTATATGACATGCTAAAGATGGGTCTTCATCAAATGATTTTATTCTACAGCTGCTGTAGCTGGATTGGATCCTATTGAAATGGGGTGAAACACATGATACTTTACTTTGGTTTGCAGTAGTGTTTATTGATGGTAAAAGTGGAACATGAACTATGCATTTGCTCCAACTTGGAAACTGACCTTTACAATTGTTCTTTGATTTGATTGAGTGCTCTGAAGTTATCTAACGTTACTCACTATCTCTTCCTTCTATCATGCGTCAAACTGTGTACACACCTTACAAATATAGGATAGAAAAAACCTATTTAACACACATGTACAGAAAAGTAACAGTGGCAACTACAATGCAATCCATCTATAGGTTTGACGTGATTTTAAAATGAATGACAAAATATAGGATTCATCTGATGATATGATTTATTTTTTGTTGTATATTTCCTTTACAACTTAGAGTTGGCGTGAATAGCAACAAAAGGGTCCTCGTCTCTGTTGCTGATTTTGAAGTGGGCGCGTCCATCACCACCAACCTGGATCTGCTTCCCAGTGCAGCTGCTTCCCTTCTTCTCACCAGAAATGACATCACAGTAGGTGCCTCCTGGCATGCCAGTGTTAAGGGTCACGTCCAGGTTCCTGAAGGTGAACACAAAGTAAGTATTATAAATATATATGTAAATATATATAGATACAAACATTGAAGTGGGTTGTTTTATGGGATGGGAGAAACCAAACATTAAAAAAAATATTTTAAATGTTCTAACACTGGTCGGACGTTTTATGTTCACCTGTATGCTTCTAATTGGTTAGCCGTTTGTAGGTTCAACAAGCAATGCAATTGCAATTCTAAAGCCATTTGAAGATCAATAATCCAATAAACTATGGTAGTACTCAGCAAATAATTGTTACCAGTCATCATTGTTGAAGACGATGAAACCACGGTTACCACGTCCAAAGGCAACCTGGTTGCTCTGGTTGTCCCACCAGTTGGAATGAGGCTGTCCGTTGACCACGTTGCGGAAAATAACCATGTTCCTAAAGGAGTGAGATGGAAAAAATCCAAACATAGCGTCTAACATAGATCGTTTTCACATCGACATGACCAAGCAGACATGACTTGTGTTCTGAGTGTGAGATCAATAGTTCCCGGTCTCTGGCTTTCTGAGGACTCACTTGATCTGACGCCATCTGTGCTCACACACCCATCCATCTCCACAAGTCTGGTCAGCCTTGATGGGAACAGACTTGGTGGATCCATCGCTATTGCTGGGGGGGCCCATCCAGTCATTTTGATCCTACAAAATAATGATGGATTAATGAGTTTAAGAAAAAGATTGTCAAAAAATATTAGGTCTAATCCTTATTTCTGGTAAAAGAGAAACTACCTTTCCGTTGACAAAGTGGCGGTCCCAGCGGAAGCTAGACATCACCCTGGTTACTCCGTAAGGGTGGGCCAGCATGTAGCTGACAGCCATCTTGTGGAGCTTGGGGTCCCAGAAGGTAACAATAGAGGCACCGCCAGCACCATGGCCTCTCTGGTTGTCGTGGTTGTCAACGAAGACCAGAGCATTGCCGTTGGACATGAAACCCCATCCCTCTCCCCAGTTCCTGCACACAAGAATACACTTTTACTAATGAGGAGCTGACGTTTAAGACACCCAAGTTTGGTAAATACATCTCATGTATTTAAATAAAAAAATCTGAGATGTACTAATTCTAAAAAATAAAATGAGTTTTGTCCTTAAAAAGAACTAACATAAAAAACAACTTTTAAAATGTGTTGTCAGCTCATGGTTGAATAAATATTAAAAATACATGTTTATGATATGTTAGTCAGGCAAAGCAACAAAATCACACGTACTTGGTGTAAGACAGCTTCTCGCCATTCCACTTTCTGAAAATATTTCCCAGTTTGGCACCATATTTGAACTCAGTCACCCTTCCCAGATGGACGTACTCTTTAGCCGAGATGGACTCACCTCCCAAATCAATAACCTATAATCAAAACGTTATCTACATTATCCAGTCAACTTACGTTGTAAGTGTTTAAGATCGACTTCACCATACCAGTGATTTGTGGATTGCGAAAATGCCTTAATGCTATTTTACCTCTATGAATTCATAGTCAAATACTAATGAATTCTTGAATATTAACGTTTTTCCTAGTATGCGTGTGTTTGTGTTTGTCATATTGAATTCTCACCACAATTATCATTTACGTAGGTGAGCTGAAGCAACTCCACATGACGATGAATGCATTGACGAATCTTCACGGTAAAATGGAACATGATGGTTATGATGGTCTATCTAACTAACCTCCTGGAAGATGAAGGGTCTGGAGCCACTAGGGAACCACTTAGTGTTGAGGTTGTGCATACGACCGTAGACGGCAGACAGGTCACCGGGCCACATGTGCTTGCAGGCATCCACTCTGAATCCAGCGACTCCCATGTCAATCAGCTTATTCAAAAGGTTGGCCACCTTGCCCCTGACATAATCTTTCTCCAAGGCGAGGTCCAACAGACCCACCAGGCGACAGTTACGCACCTGCGGCAGAGAATAAGCAGATATTTTTTTCTGGTTTTAAAACAGCTGGAAGTCAAACAACTGATCAATATGGAATATTTGGACTTCATTTTGTTATTGTATGGGATAAAAAAGTTCTGTGAAATGCCGCGAGCTACCAGAGAAGCTTCCACGCTGTTTACTAAGTGGCATTCATCACCTGATTGGCATCATCGTAGTTCTGAATTTCCCCATTGCTAGTTTTGCATTTGTAGTCATTGAAGTCGGACTGGGAATACGGGATACTGGGGAAGTCCTTCCTGGTAGCGCTGAACCAGCTTCCACATGAAGAGTGGGTTCCCTCTCCACCGCCGGAGCCGCACATGTGGTTGATGACAATGTCCACATAGATATTGACCTGCAGGGGATGAATGTAGGATTGAAGCTGCAGCAAAACGTATCAACACCTCCTTTCTATCTCTTAACTGTCACTTCCTCAATGCATTGAGGTCATTCTCAACAACAACAAAAAAAATCTCAATATTCTTCACTAAATCACTTTTTACCCCAACGTTGTTGCATCTGGTGATCATGTCTCTCAGCTCACTCTCGCTGCCTGATCTGGAGCACAGATTGTACCCGACTGGTTGGTATCTTTGCCACCACGGTCTCCAGGGACTATCCAGCACGATGTGCTCAGTTGGAGGAGAGATCTGAGCAACATAGAGTAAAGACATTACAGTAAAGTTGCTTTTACCACAGAAAAAGAGCCTCTTCACCAACTTCCTACAGTACTAGTCATAGGACAATATAACATAATCAGTTATAATATGTATATATCATGAAAAAAGTTGTTATTGTTGAATTGTTATTGTTGAAATAAGTCATCTTTAGAGGTACAAACAATCAAACAGATTTTCTATTCAATTAAGATGGACTCCCCTGTTATCTGTTGCTTTTAATTCCCTGTTTCATTTGATGTCATTCAGTAAGTGATAACAGCTATTACAGCTTCATGTTTTAGTGTTTATAACAAAATGAATAATTAATAGACTGTATTTATCCTTTTTTGAATGGCATGTTTTCCTCCCGCAAACACCCACCTGTACACCTTGTGCATCTTCAGCATGAACATTGACTTTGGTCATTTTATATCAAAATTAAAACCAAAGCCAATCTCCTCCTTCTCTCCCACCCTGTGTTGAGTCATACGTACCTGAACTCCACCAAAGCCATTAGGACCCAAAAAGCGCTCACACTCTGCAGCGATGTCCGCCCAGCGCCATCCAAACAGGTGAACGATGCTAGTCCTGCCGTGCTTGGTATTCGGGTTGTGCTGGGCGAGGCCGAGGCCAAACAGAGCCAACAGGATGAACAACTTCATGTTTCCCCTTGGTGAGAGAAAAAACACACTGACCTGCTGCCTCACTGATCGTATTTAAATTGTCTTTGTCTCTATACTGGACCAATGAGTGAGTTGCAAATGAGTGGGGAGGTTACCCAGGTGCATCTTTCTCACGGCTTTCTGCAACGTCTCACAGGGTGAAAAATAAGTAACATGAGGGTTGCATAATCAGAAAGTGTCCTAAACGTTGTCATATATCTAATGCTTATCTAACATTGGTGTTAGCTGTTGCACTGACTGTATCCTCTGTGAAGGTTTAAAACAGCAATACAGCAAAAACAGCCTATTAATGACTTTAAACATCACAACGTGTCAGGATTATTTTTTCACAAGCACTGATTGCATTATGAAGACATTTTAAAATATTTTAACCACTCAGATCAGCACAAGTTGGAGGTTTCATTCTTCAGTGTATTTTTGATCTTAGTTCCAACTGTTCCAAAATGTACCTGAGTTACAAAACTTGTCTGTACACAAATCTATTTTGGTCAGAGCAAATAGAAAGTTACTTTTTGACAGTTTTATCTAATCATACATGTGACTGTCGTAAATATATTTTGTATGTCGTGCATATTCATGTTGGGATTCATAACATTGTTTGTAATATTATAGTAGCGTACTAGCAGTCTCAATATTTTATTCGTATAATACACTCTGATTTAAAAAGCATATCTGGTTTACCTTTGAACTGCATGTTTAGTTTATTCATCTGTTTTATGTTGGTTTGGTTGACTCAGGAGGGACAACTCATACCCATATGAAGACTTATGTCTGACCTGACTGTGCTTAGTATCTATGTGATGTATTGAGCAGACCTTAGAACTGAAATTCACAACAAGGCTGTAGAATTCTCTCTGGCCATTTCTTCTGAGGAAGAACAAAGGACGTTGACATTGTCAGTACAGGGGGTAAGTAGTGTCTCAGCACTCAGCTCACATAGTAGTAGTTTTGCATACAGGTTTGTTCTACATAACACAGGGTGATTATATCAATGAGGTCTGGTCTTCGCTTTCTTATCAAGCAACCAAAGATGTACCAAACAGAGGTTTGTAAATTAGTTTTCGTCTGTGACAGTGGTCACATTTAGTGTTCATTCTGAATTAGTAACTTCTGTGAAGATAAGAAGATGTTTTGTAATGTTGTATCACATCTGATCGTATTGGTCATCAAAGGCCTTCTCTCTGCATGTTCTTCTCTTTACAGAATTCTACACCTCTGTTGCAAACTTCTGTCTCAATGGCAATTAAACTAATCTTGACCAATAATATAATTAGTCAGTTTTATACTGATTTTATTACAGACACAAATGTTGAAAGTGCGACAGTTACAAAAGAGGTCGTATCTTGCTGTAACCTCACCTTCTTCTTTTTTTAATGTAGGAAAACAAACACAGATAAAATATACGTGGAAACAAGTTAACTAAACCAGATCTGTCAAAACACAAGGATTTTCCCACACGATGGCTGAAATGTGACTGGTGCTTGGTCACTGTGTGTTGGTAAAGGATCAAGCCGGTGGCAAAAGAAATAAACGTATGGTATGTCTTCTGTATAAGATTCATCCTGTATATGACTTAAAATTACCTTCAGAAAGATGTTTCTGGAAAGACATGTTTCATGAGACAATCATTCAACTATAAGCTTTTGAAACTGTAAGTACGATTTACTTGATACTTTTACATAAATATTTTGAAAGCAGGATACAATCGCCGTTGAGTATTGAGTGCTGAATTTACTTACGGTTTCAGTAAACTGTCCGACTGTCTACATAACTGCACCTCCCAAATCATTTTCTCACTTAATGAGCTGTAACTGACCTAAAACATACAGTATTCAGGGTAATGTTACTGTTCTTAAGTTTATGGTCATCAGCATCAGGATTTAATACATATCAAATTTAAGACAGGGGAACCTGAAGTGAAAAATGATAACACATTTATGGGTTTTATGACTCATTATGGTAAAACTCTAATGGTTGTAGACACGAGACATCCTGATTTGCACCGCTTTTTGGCCATTTTATCTCCCGGAGCAGATGAGGAAGTTTCTCTCCATCCATGTTTGTATTTTATTTAGAGCTTCTCCTTCCTTTGTTTGACAAGAAGCATGCGTTTGCTTCTTTGTGTTTAAGACATTGTCCAAATCAGGGGGTATTCTGAAAGCCAGATGACCTACAACAGTACCGTTAGGTTTAGGCTCAGGGGGTTAGTGATGCTGGTTGAATCACTGGCACCTCCTGTGTCCACATATCAAAGTATCCGACATTACATCCACCCACTACTCCTAATGCTTAGGATGGGTTACATGAAAATATAAATTGTCATCAAGGCTTATGTCGCCTAGTTTACTCTTGAGTGAGGCAAACACATTAAATAACAAAGTGTTTCCATATTTCAATTTACTGTCCACTGTAAGTCCATCAATATGATTCTGCTCATTATTAGAGTTTATGATGTACCTCTTTTTACCCTGGCCCTCTGTGTTCAACATTTTTGATTTTTTTACATTGAAAGATGATAACATAACAGTTGCTTATAAGGGCTTTATATTATGCTGCAGTTTTAGGAACACCACTGTTGAACGGTTGATCCACGAAAAGTATCATCAGAAGGTTCTCTGTGCCTCATCTGACCAGATTTGACTAACAGATGGACAGCATAAGGGTGGTCCATGTGTGCGCTGTAATTCGGCAAATAGAAAGAGTAACAGTGTTGCCAATATAATTGTTGCACAAGAGGCCTTTTCGATTTACTCAAGGTTTTATTTTTAACTTATCTCTGTGTGAATTTGTGTCGATGGCAGCTGCTGAATTTTGTTGTTTTCCCACTCAGGAGGGAGCGTGTTATGATTTCCACATATGAGGATTTCATGTGCATACCCTCAACAGAAAGGTAAATGATCCAAACTTCTTAGTTTTCCTCAAAAGTGAAACTGCAGTCAGGTCAAAGAACAACAAGGTAGTGATTTCAAAGCAAGAAAGGTGTGTTACAAATGCAACATTGCATTTTTTTTATTAACAAGACAGTCTAAACCCAGTACATGCATGGACTATCTATGTTCATTGTGCTTTGTCGTGTCCAGATTGTTACAGAAATAGTAAGCAGTAGCGATATCAAGTGTTCATCTCCAACTTACTTCAGTGGTCCAAGTAATATTTCTTGAATTGTACTATAAGATGCTAAAGATGTGTCTTCAAATGATTGGGGACTGCAGGAATTTTATTCCATTAGCCTATATAATCATGCTATTTTTTTTAAATATGTTTCCCTGGACTATTCTGGATTATTATCCTCAATGAATGTGCGGTTTCCAAAACACAGTGCTATGCAAAGGTGTCAAAAGTATTCACCTTCATTACTCAAGTAGAGGTTGTGACGACATGAGAGGCTCCCGAGCTCTCGGCGGGACAGTTCAAGGAGCGCGCGGACACCAAGGTCAAATATGTATGGCCACTTTCCGAGCCTCCGGCACGCGCTACGGGCGCTGGTTTACTTCAAGGAGTGCGCGGACACCAATGTATAATATCAACAAGGATTTTATTTAAGTTCTTAGGAATTAACAGAAAACAGTCCAACTTCCAAAATGTACCTATGGCTTAGGTTGATCTTCAACTGTCAAAAACTTAAGCAATGCCGCATTGTGGTGGTGAAATCATAATTTCATTTTTTTCTGGTAAGTAAACAGTCTTTTCTGTCTGCAATCGGAGCGGCAGCCCGTTGCCACCAAGCCGTAACTCTTTCAACGTCCCGTAAGTAGTTCCCAAGGTAGTCTCTCCAGCCTTCCTCGTGGAGAGTCCCAACCTGCAGCTTGTCCCTCATAGCCCACACACCTCCCTCCCTATCTCTCTAACCGTTATAAGCCCTTCGGGTCATCAGACGCTGATCAGTTTCAGGTGTGCGGGAATGTCGGGAATTGAGGGGTGGAGTTCCTAACTCCACCAGCAGACGGAGCCACAGCTGTTCCTAGTTACAGCCATCTTATGGGGATGTAGCCCCCCTTCCAGGACACAGCCTCTCGTGACATCACAAAGTATAGATAAGTGGCAGCAGTCGGTTATCAAAACGTTGGCCAACTAACCCGTTTCAGAATTTAAGAGCAATTACAGAATCCCTTGTGTTAATGTCTCAAGCCTTGCAATAAGGCATAACTTTATATCACTATTTAAGACGCTGCCCTACTTGCAAGTCGGTGTTCTGCTATATTCTCAATAAAGTTAGAAAAAACATTTATGAAGATACTCATTTAACATTAGATGGAATCTTCATGAGGAGGAGGAGGAGGAGGGTTCATGTCGCAAAATACCCAACTAAGATCGGCTTGTGCCGTTCTAACCCGACCACCGACCTGCCGTTCTGAAAAAGACCACCACAGAACCCTTTTTGCACCTGGCGTCACTCTGATTTTTGTCATCTGCTGGTGCATCGCGGAGAAAACCAACAAGGGGGCCAAACGGCAAATGTTTATACTTCCCATCCAACCATAATCAAATTCACTCAATGCGGATGGCGCGATATATCTGGATAGGTTTTGTGTGTGTGTGTGTTGTTAGACAATGACAAGTTGGAAAACAGGCCAAAATGAAATAGGAGTAACGAGGCTACTTTTAAGATGCAAGGAGTACTAAGTACAGATATTCGCGTAAAAATGTAAGGAGTAGAAGTAAAAATTCATCTGAAAATACCCCAGTAAAGTATATATACCCAAAATTTAAGGTAAAAAAGTATTTTTATTTTAATACTTGACACCTCTGGTGCTATGGCAATAGTTTGGGCTGCTTTATTAAACAGACCTAAATTGCATCCTATTGAAATGGTCAACATTGGGTGCAACACATGATACTTGGGTTTGCAGTAGTGTTTATTATTGGTAAAAGTGGAACATGAACTGTGCATTTGCTACCACTTGTTAACTGACGTTTACAATTTTTTTAGAATTGAAAAACCATATTTAAAACAAAAAAACAGTAGCAAATACAAAGGAATCAATCTATAGGTTTGACAGGATATTAAAATCA